AAAAAAAAAAAAAAAAAGAGTTATCTGACAATATAATCTTGTGTAAGATCCAAAGTATAAGTCAAACTTCTTTGCATACTTTCCTTTAAACTAATAGCACTTATTTAGCACTCCAGTCAACGTTGAAAGAAAATTAAGATATTGTTCAGCACTATGCAATTTCTTTACAACATATACTTACATGATTCTAATACTTAGGATTTAAATGTTTAATACATTTTGTCAATAACTGTCTATAATTAACAGTAATCATATTTTTACATAGTCCTCAATATTGAGATCATTTCTAGAATTAGTTTACAATAGAAAAACAATAAAAATGTGAGAATGTCTCTTATTTGCCTCAGATATGTTTATTTTTTAAATGACTTGGCCATTTCTACTTTCTTGTCCCACATTGTCCACATCTGACTGTTCACAGACCATGGAACACCACCCCTCTAAAGCAGTATCTGTGGGACTGATTAGAACAAACGTAGAGGGGAAACACTTTAGAATCAGCAGAAAAGTTTTTTCTAACTGCACCCACCAACAGAAAGCCACAGAAAACCAATGCCTTGGAGGCATGTTGCAGATCTAATAACAAGACTGCAATTAAAGTTTAGCTGGAACCAAACTTAGAATCTATTGTCACAAGCGCTGCTAAAAAGAATTTTTAAAAAAGAGTAATTAGGACAAGATACAGGGCTTCCTAAGATACCAGCGTCTATAGAGGTTCAGGTTCACAGATAGACCTGTAGAAATGGAAGAAACCAAAGGAAGGAAACTATTTCCATCACATCTATGCATAAGCAGTGTACTTTCAATTGCTTACCTCCAATATTCTGAATTATTATAGTGCTTGCCACCACTGCCTATAAAAGAACAAATATATTCAGAAGATAAAAGGAGAAATAATGTAAAAGGATCAGTATTTTATTAAAATCCAGTAACTATTAATAAAAAACAGATGCAGGCATTATGAGTGAAGAGAAACTGGAAAGAATAAATTTTGTCAGTCATTTGTTAATACATAAAATGAAAAATCATCATATAATAGCCTCTCTTTAGTAGTTCCATGGTTACTATATAGAATATATTTGAAATTTTTCTTGGCAGTCATTTTTAAATAGTTAAAAGTGTTAAAAGCTTTTTATAGTAATTGGTGACTAACAAAGTAAAAAAATGAAAATGAAATCTATCAGGGAGGATGGGGTTGAGGTGGTGATGTCTCTCGTTCTCCTTTTCTTACTGATTTTATCAAATGGCTTTAGCAAATAGACCAAGACAGGTTGGGGTGTGCTGTGCCAATGCTGCATTGCCTACAAGATAATTATGTAAAGCTTTTAAGTATTTCAGCTTGGCATATACCAAGCTTTCAGCATCCCAGACCCAGGGAACAATTAAGTCTAGAGCAGAAATCTAGAGCCCAAATATTCTCAGACCTTGAAAATGCAGGCAAAATGTTTCAAACTCACAATGTAAACGAGGCTGAGTTTAAGACAATAGAGGTGGCAAGAACTGTAATACATTGAAGAACTTCTCCCCATTCAAAATGGGGCAGCTGCTACTCAGCTCTGGCCTGTTGATGCCATGTGAGAATGTGGATCCGATGAAGCCAGATCTAATTTTTCAAGGAAAGTCAGAAATTGAATTTTTTCAAACTTTCATGACTCTTTGTTGATAACCAGTTAAAAATAAAAAAGATTTGAGCCAAACAAAATATGACTGAGGACTAAATTCAGTCTGCAGGCTTGCTAGCTTATTATTTTTGATGAGATTCCTGAGAAACTCAAGGTAATCAGATATACTCAGAGGAAATGGTAAAACACTGCTTCTACTTGGGCCTTTCAATCACTTAAATCTTGGAGAATCAGAACCCCCAACATATGTTTGGAGCTGACTAGCTATTTAGCATCATCCAGTCCTACATGAATTAAGAACAGATTATCCTTCAGGCCCATCTCTATTAGCAATGCCATCAGTGGCACAGCATTTACCTATCCTAAAAGCAACCTAAGTTTTTGGGACCTAGGAGCCTTGGGGTTCAAAGAGGAGGGCTAATCATAGGAAAACTTGGCAAGGTGTCTCTAGTGATGGGGTGATAGCCACTACAAAGTTTTCCAGAAAGAACTCTGTGTCTCAATCTACCTAAAAATTAATTCCAGGCCAATGCAGTGGCTCACCCATATAATCCCAGCACTTTGGGAGGTCGAGGCCAGAGGACTGCTTGAGCCCAAGAGTTTGAGACTAGCCTGGGCAACATAGTGAGACTTTGTCCCTTCAAAAAGTTTTTTAAAAAATTAGCTGGGAGTGGTGGCATACACCTGTGGTTCCAGCTACTCCAGAAGCTAAGGCAGAAGGATTGCCTGAGCCCAGGAGTACAAGACTTCAGTGAGCCCTGATCATACTGCTACTGTACTCCAGCCTGGGCGACAGACTAAGACTTTGACTAAAA